AGACGGGACCTACGGTTTATTCGTCCTTATCCGAGAAGACTAGAATGTCTATCCATTTCTTGATATTATAGAAAGGTAGCGCATTCTCCTAAGTTATTTTAAGACCTTGAGTGTTGGTCCGGCCGGGGCTCGAACCATCGACCTCGACCTCCCGCACAACAGTCCAGCGCTCTAACCAATTGAGCTGACCGGGAGGCGGTCTTCAAATTAAAGTATATTGTTTAATCAAATAAACGATAAAAACGTTAGCGGAGAGTTTAATAAACATGTTCATAGATTCGGTTACCATTATTACCTAGTTGAATGTAGTTGTAAAAACGCAAGTGGCAAGTATAAGGTAAGACGCATGAAAGAATATTGTATTTTGATGAAGGAGCTCTACAACATTATAGAGCATTAATTCATTGTTTTTGAAAGTCATCTAGCCTTAAGCGATACAATTGTTTACATCAACAAAGAGGATAGATGCCGCGGCTGGATCTTAGGTTAGTCGAATACGTCAGTTCGCACCAATCAAAGTTATTTTAAAATAATAGTCAAGTCAAATTACATTTTTGCGCGGTTGAGTGAACAGTGATCCTAAAAAAGGTGAGTAACTGATGGTTATCCAAGGCACCCTGAGTTTGCCCACTTCCTTGCCTCAAGCGTTTCTCTAGAATGTGGATTGATATTCAATATACATTAAGCATAGAACTGGCTGCGCGTGACCATGACTTTTAATTTATGTTTAAATTTTGATGATGTCTCTCACTCGTTCGTTATCCTTCACCGCTGGAGTATTTTTTCGCCTGTAGCTCGCTCTGTAAGTTACAGAACGCTTATCGAGACACGTCTTATGAAAAATGAGAAATAGGGCCACGTCGACAACGGTGAATAACGTCTGCGCATGTCACTTTCTCGCTCGTAACTTCGTGGCAATAGAATAGATCAAATAATGGAGCGACAATTTTAATTTGGACAATTTAGAGCGTTGACTTCTATCAAATCAAATAACTAACAAGGACACCTGAATATAAGCAAACTAACTGTACTTGAAGCACAACCTGCTTTTTCTGGTTGAATTTCGGCAAATGTTCAAGAAAAAAATAATGATGTTAAACCATATTTTGCGCCCCTGTGAAACGAAAGTTCGTAGCTTCTCTTCTCTTCTTAGATCTTAACTACATCGTATTTTAGTTTTCTACAAAATTTCATCTTTCCATTTTACTTTACAATGGTTTCAGAGTTGGTTATTTTTCATTAAGTGGGAAAAGTATGCCTGTGGTGAGGTCGTGTATGGAAATCATCGTTTAGCCGACAAGGGGAGTGAAACTGTTCTTTTTCTTTACTCGATATTCTGTATTAGCTAAAAAGTATGTAATATCTCTACAGCAGATACATCATCATCTTAATACTAAGCTATAGAAATCCGTCAGCACACAGATGCATACATGTAATTATAAAAACGCAATCATAAAAGTCATTTCCACCCATGTCCGTTCATACCACTTTCAGTTTAGAATCAGTTGAATATCGGTATCCATTTTGGAGGAACACTTGAGGCTAAAAAGCAAGAAACACAGGTTTCCTTGCGATAATATTAGGATCTCTGTCCTCTCAACTGAACAGAAAGTGCAATTTTACATGACCATCATGTTAAAATAAACTTGATTGGTACGTTATCTGGTGTATACGACACGGAACAAGGTCCAACCAAAGCTGAACAATCATCTTTGCCAAAGTAAACAGTTGTGTTGCCAGAGGTTAGACGAATTTAAAAAAGTTCATTCATACGCCTATGGGTATAACATTTGTTCCTTTGATATAGATATAGATGGGATACCAGAAGTCTCCCTCGAATAAATAAAGGCTGATAGTTTCTAAAGAGACTGTTTGGGGCTGCATCGGTGGGGGTAACGAAATAATTTGGATATATCAACAAAGTTGAAATGGTAAATTGGCCACCGTAACGATTACAAAAGCTGACGTTTCGAGCGTTAGCCCTTTGTCGGAGCGAATAGAGGAATTGTGGGTTGTGTGTGCTTTTAAAGGCAGAAAATGGAGCTACGTTATGGGTGGGAACATGGCAACGAGAAAAACACAAATAAATTAGTGGAATGAAAGGCGTTCGTTGATACCTGTGGGATTTAGACTGCCGGTTTGAAAGATGAGCTTTTGTTCAAGA